TAAAAACAAGAATTAACCCCCAAATAAGAAACACAACAAAACAAAAAGATAATAAGGAACACAATAAACAACCTTATAGCCACACATTTTATCACTTAAATTCAGTGGAGTGAATTACTGCAGGACACAGAGGAACAAACACACAGGAGGAAAAAGGTAACCTGAAAATCTTTCTTTATTAAATAAACAAGATAAATAAGGAAGAACCTCCCCCAAAATGAAGTCACCAGGCTCAGACTGACTCCCTGACGAAATCTTCCTCACTTTCAAGGAAAACTAAATCCTATTTCCTCACTTCCCCATGAAACAGAAGCAGCAGGAAGGCTGTCTATCCCAAAACCATGCAAGGATATCACACAGAACAAAGTAAAAAAAGCCAAAGACCGATATAGCTCATTAATAGAGGTAAAGACATGGGTAGTGAGTTGAATCCAACAATACGTGAAAGGAATTGTGTATGGCAAACACAAAACTTACTCTAGGTAGGCAAGGTTAGTGTAACAGTCAAACATGAAATCTAGGTAGCTCACCACAGCAACTGGCACAGATGAAACACTTCACAAAATCCAGAAGCAATTCATGACAAAAAAAGAAAAGAGATCAAAATCCTCTCGGTAAACTAGAGAACCTTCTCAACTTGGTAAAGAACATAAATAAACAAGAAGCCCACAGGTAGCATCAAAAGGTGAGAGACTCGACGTTTTCTGGGCTCATGTTTTTATCCCTGGGACAAAATAACTTAAGGGAGGGAGGTTTACTTTGGCTCATGATCCCCGAGGTTTGAGGCTATGGTTGACTGGCTCCATTGCTTTCCAGGCCACAGGAGGCAGTACCATGGTGGATCAAGGCTGCCCGCCCCGTGGTGGCCAGGAAGCAGAGAGAGCCAGGAAGGTGCTGGGCAAGGACACATCCCAGTGATCCACCTGAAGCAACCATATCCCACCTACTTACATTTCCATCACCCCTACAGCGCCATCAAACTGTGAATCCATCCATGGATTAAACCATTCGTGAACTCAGACCCCCATGACCAACCCCCCCTGAGCCCTACCTCTGCACACTGCTTACATTAGAGGACCAAGTCTTCAGCCTGAGACTTGGCGCAGGAGCATAGCAGTCCATATCCAAACCATACTACTATCTCACTAAGGTCAGGTGTAGCAAGACCCCCTCCTCACTACTCTTCCACACTGTACTAGAGTTTAATGAAGGTGCTTTAATGCCCAAAGTGATCAAATTTGAGCAACAAAATAAATAAAATATTGGGTTATAATCTGGATTATAAAGATCCAGGTGCCCTATTGAAATAAGCACCTTATTGAATAAGTAAATTGAGTAAGAAAATGGGGAAATCCCCAATGGCTTATGAGGTATACTAACTGCCCCCCAGTAAGGGGGAGACATTCCACTGCTATGACAGCGAGCTATTTACTCTACCTGCACTACAGTAAGAGATCCTGCTGTGGGTATGAGCAGGCCCCAAGGATGGTGCATTCAAGAGAAGTAAGGTCAAGGTCAATCCCAGACCACCAGAGCATTCCCTGAAAAGCTCAAGTTCCTCTGCAAAGTGGCTTCTCAACGAGCAAAGAGCATCCTTTGAGCCTCCTCAATTCTAGACTCACCTCTCCCTTGTCCAGTGTTCTTATTTTACCTTCTTGCTCTTTCTGTTTTGAGTCTCATCTTTGCAAGAAATCTGTTTGATGCTAAGGTCTAATTGTGAGCTGTCTTAAATCTAGTCACAGTAGGCAGGCACAAGGACCCCAACAAATTCTTGGGTGTTCGGTATTTAAAACCGTGGAGTGCATGCACTCTGCAATAATGAGCCTTATTATTAAGTGATCCATTTTTTCATTCAACAGATTTTAGGAATGTCCCTGCTTTGAAGAGAGGCCTACTTCTCTAAGTTTTGTCCTTCAAAACTCAGGTCTACAGTTTCCAGATGAGTTTTGTGGGCTGTTGGCTAAGCCAGCTAACATTACACAAATTTTTGGCTCTTTCCCCGCTCCCCTGTTCAGATCCCAGGACCAGAGCTCCTCTGAAGCCAAATGGTTCCCTGTGGGGAAAGGAAGGGATGAACAGCTGGTGTGGGTAGGAGAGAAAGCCCCTCCCCTCCATTCGTTCCTTCTCCACCAGTGACTGGGTGATCAGAGACCCAGGGGGTTTCTGAGCCTGACGTTCTGTGCGGACGGGAACTGGAATGGGAATGGTGGGTGGGAAGAGGGAAGAAAGGGTCCAAGTGCTGTGGGATGCTTCAGTTGTTCACTTGAAGGAAAACATTCTAAGGAATTAAAGGAACCTTAGATGTTCAAGGAATGAAAGCATTTTGCCTTTCTTCTACAGATGTCGGCTTGGAAGACAGGAGCAGCTGGATGGGACAGAACTTGTAAAGGTGACAAACAGCCCTATCTGGGCTTTCTTATTCTCAAAGGGAACACACACACACACACAGAGAGAGAGAGGAGAGAGAGAGAGAGAGAGAGAGAGAGAGAGAGAGACAGAGAGAGACAGAGACAGAGAGAGAGAGAGACAGAGAGAGAGAGAGTCAAAAAGGTATTTTTAAAAACCACGTTTACTTACATCTTGGTTCATACAACAGAAGCCAACCCCCCATGTGCTCACTGTGATGGCCCCTGAAGTCACAGGTCACAAATAACCAGGATGTGCACAGTGGTCAGTCGTCAACTGTCAACAAAGAATTCCAATTGTAACCCCGGATTCAGAAGTCTGGCAGGGCATCCTCCTGTGGTGGCAGTTAATAGGTCCCCTACCCACACAGCTGTCCTCCACTGTGGATGGATGCCTTGGTGGCACTTGGCCCATCAGAGATTAAGTCCGCCTCTGGACCATTTTGGCTCTGTCCTCACAAACATCCGGGAATGAAAGCAGGCTTTGAGAGAAGAGGATATTTGGCTAGCTCTTGCGGGTTATTTATAGCAGATGGCAGAAAGAGCAGACCCACGCTAATTCTAAATATTTGGAAGCTATGCTCAATTAGTGTGGAACTGACTTCATTTAAAATGATATTTTCTAGTGATGAGAATTCAAACTAAAGGCTAAAAAGACTGCCGGGGCCAAGTTTACCTTCAGTGCTTTTCATAAACAGGTGAGGTGCTTTCATTCGTAAATAGAGCATTTTCCGTATACAGCAAGCATGTTATTCACACAGCCTCCTAGTGAAACAGAGAGTACCACCTTACCAAGTTAAACACACGAATGCTTGCTTCACTATTGTCGTACACGGAAAATCAACTTTTTCAATAAATTTCTGACCAATGGACGCCACAAACATAATTTTCCTTTGAACCCAAAATTGCACAATCTTTGACTCACAACTGGAGCTTCCAAATCTAGAGGCTTCTGTGGTGTTTGCTTCTGAATTTGTAACAGTTTAGACTCCACAGACTATGAAGCTGAGTGAATTTTTCTTGGTTTCTCTTGTTACAGATTGCCAAAGACAGAGGTAGCTCTAGGCACCAGTGACCATGCTGGTGTCAGAAGTCAGCGGATGCAAACACTGTGTGAAATCAGCACTACACATCCCACTGTTTCCAGAAGGGGCTATCACAGACTCATCTCCCTGGACCCAGGAAACCAAGAATCAGTAGTTGGCCTGTCTTTCATGTCTGAAAGATAGCAGAGAGGATGGGAGGATAAAAGCACGGAGCTCCCCACATTCAAAACCCTGTTTCTAGGCAAAATATGTGTCTATACAAGCAACCACCTCTACAAAGAACACTGTATGAGACCCTAAAAAAGCAAGCCCACAGCTAGCAAACCCTGGGGAGGGCCTGGGACCAGCTGCAACTAGTTCAGCTTTCCAGAGAAGGACAGAAGGAAGTGGACACCAAGCCTCGGCCCTAAATGTCTGCCTAAATGTTCCTTGGTAATCCCCAGACGCATGTGAACCCAAGCCAAGGGTTTTACCTTCTAGAACTTAGACACATTCAATCATTAGATCAATGCTGTTCAGAAATGTCTACTGCTTTAGTTAGAAGTTTAAGAAGAGTTACAAATTCTAGGGCATGAGCAACGAACCTTTAATTTGCAAGGGAGAACCAAAAGAGTGAGTCATTACCTGAGGCTCACCGTCCCTTACTACAACATAAAGAAAGGAAAATTTAAACAGGAAGAGAAAGCAGCTATGGATTTCAGGGGGGGCAGACCAATACTGGATGTAAAATGCACCCCGATTTTCAGGGGTCATAACGTAAATTTGATTACTGCCCAGTAATGCCAGAACGTTTCTTGTGGACCAATAATGCCGTTACAATCAAACTTGTCTGCATTTATGATAAAAGTATTGTACCATAAAGAACTAGTTACCGGAAACACAATCACTGCCCTCCAGGCAGTCCCTGTGCTCCGTGAGATTCCCAAGAGAAACGTGTTTTCCAAACCACACAGTGCTCCCTGAAATGTCTCATCCACACAGCATCCTTATGGAAGACGTTCAGTAAAAGTGCATGTATGCCTCACTCGTTCTGCTCTTTTATTCTTTTGCACACAAAGTTCTATTTCCAGGGAGAAACACAATGATAACTCTGAGGTTGGTACCTCCTTACACTTGGAACCCGCATGTCTGGAACAGACTCCAAGCTGGCACCAGCGTACTCTGTGCACACAGACAACTGCTGCCATCCCATTTGCAGCCTCATTTCAACCACCAGCATTTCACTTTCCGGTCCTGAAGTGGCTGCTCCCAGCCACCTCAGCATTCCTGCCCTTGACAAACCCTCAGTGAAGGTGAGGACGAGGCGTCAGCATTCCTGGCTGTTCTGAGAGAGCCCGGGAAAGCTATTATAAAGAATATTATCACCACCAAATTGTCGATCCAGGTGCAACAGCAGCTCCTGTACTCGGCGGGGACAATGGAGTGTGTAATACTTAGTAGGGGCTCCACACCTGGGTGACATAACTCAGCTCTTCTGCTGAAATACAGAGCAGCCCCCAAGCAGGGCACACCTCGGAGAGGTGCAGACAGGCAAGGGGGCCTGGCTTACCTCAGTGTGAAGCGGTCCTCAGTGGAGTTCCTGGAGATGGTCACAGGGAAGGTCAGCACGTCCCCTCGCCTGGCCGTCTTGGGGACATAATGCACAGCCACGTTGCTGTCCAGACGCAGTTCCCTCAGGACCGGGCTGCCAGGGCTCTGGTAAAGAAAGACGCTCCCAATCCTGTGCAGGGGGGGCCCCGACTCGTCGATGTCATTGTGGCCTGTCCGAACGCCACTGCCCTTCCTCCAGTCCTCCTTGGCACAGTCCCCTCGCACGTCCCCCGGCTGCACCGTGTAGTAGAGCTCCACGCGGTTCCCATCGTGCTGCTCTGTGGGCCTCCTGCGCCCGGCCACCACCGAGGGGCCACTGAACCAGGTGGACATCAGCTCCAGCTCCGCCACGCACAGCCCCAGGGGCCCACTCAGCTGGCAGCTGCCGCGCACCTCCCGGGTCTCCCGGAAGGCAAAGACCCGCAGGCACGGCAGCTTCTCGGGGGTCCTGTGGTCATCCCAGTCCCGGCCCACGATGTAGAAGAGCACCTGCACCTTGGGCCGGCTCAGGTAGATCTTGTCCCGCAGGATGTAGGCCTTCAGTTTCCAGTTGATAGAAAACTTGCTGGTGAATCCGAAAGGGTTGGCGGGCAGCATGAGGTCCTGGGGGACCACCTGCTCGATGGAGAAGGGCCCGTAGCTGGCGTTGAGCACAGGCAGCCTCTTCGCTTTGTAGATTAGGAAGGACTCCACCCGCGACTGCAGGCTGGAGTTTCGCATGATGTCTTGGTTGGCCTCCTTCAGGAAGAAGGCCACATCAGCGTTGTGGATGTGATAGGTCACCGGGAGGTAGGTGGGCAGCAGGAGAACCTCTGGGTGCTATCCAGGATACCGCGGCTCTCAGCCACTGTGGGGAGGGAATGGAGCCAAAGGTTAGACACTCAAGGGCGCGACCCAGATTTCAACTTCTGAGCACCCCCATTAGAGCTGACTGCCCTGTCTTGCCCTCCTTCTGCAATTCCTTCTCCAGCCTTTCTTAGTTGAGCCATCTCACGTGATCAAAGATATGTACACTAAGTATTTCATAGGTTTGATTTTTAGAAGTGTGAGAGTCAGCTTAGGTTGGGTCTTTTCTGTCAAAGGATTTGATCAGTAATCACCACTGCTAAAAATGTTAGTCTCACATACAGTCTCTTCATGGACTCTGCTTAGCATGATAAAAGTTTCTATTAAGAACAAAGCATTGTTATCCTCAGCCAGGCAAAAATTCCACTAGCTGCCCTGGTTCCGGAACTGATAACCAAAACAATTATTGCTTCCCTGAACTTTTAAACTTCTTTGTCTTCAAAGCCCCCTCCCTATGTCCCCTTTCCAATTTGGCAACCACATAGACTGTGAACCCAAAACCTGCCCAATCCAGGGGAGGGGCAGCATTGTGTTAGCTAAAACCTGAGCTGACTTCCCACCTGGTGTGCTTGCTATTTATCTGTGGGGCACCCTTCTGTAGGAGTAAATTTTTCCTTGCCTGTTGACTTCTGGGTTGTGTCATCTCTCTCTGTGACACCCCAAAATCTTAAAAGATATTTGTAACAGAAGCAACAAATGTCACTGATGACGTAAGCAGAAAACCAGCTTCACTTACCAGACATCGCAATTGGACACTCAAGCACATAAAATTCAAACAGAATTTTGTCTCCAAATTTCATCTAGGGAGCCACACCAGGGTGGGGCCCATCTATAATCCCAGCTACTTGGGAGGCAGACACAGGCGGATCATGGATTGAGGCCAGTTGGGGACAAAGTGTGAAAAATAAGCTAAAAATATGCAGAAATGACTGAATATGCTCAATCAGTAGAGCACCTGTGTAAGACCCTGAGTTCAATCCCCAGTACTGCCAAAAAAACCCCAAAATGACAACAACAACAAAAAACCAAAATTCACCTAGGGCCAGTGGTGCCTTTAGGGGGTTTTGCCTAAGACTTTTTTTTTTATTATTATTATTCTTTCTTTTTCCTTTTCTTTTTTGTGAAAGGAGATGAGCACAGATTGGTAAGGCACTAACATGGCACCATCACCAATGAGGGACCTTCCCTTGCCCTCAAGCAGACAGAGAATGGAAAGAGAAAAGTGGTAGACCCTTGGTAATCACAGGGCTGTGGTTCCAAGGAGATCATGGGTGAGGCAAAGCTGTGAATCCTCAGGATGCAGAGTCTAGTCTCCTAAATATCCTCAGGTCGACCCAGACCTTACGAACAGTAGGTCAGAGCGTCCATGACTGGAGTCACAAAAGTTATTGTGACTTCATGTTCTTTATCTCCAGAGCTACAGACAAGATTCATTTTTCTGTAACACTGCCAACTTCCACTGAAGCCTTTCAACTAACCTAAACTTTTGTGGTATCATTTCGATTAAACCCATTCACTTTTACCTTCCTTTTGGGCCACCATTTGCTTTGGGGGAGGTCTATGGTATTTCCACAAAATCACAGGCAGGGAAAAACCCAGCCAATCAGTAACACAATGCTTTGAACACAAATGACGACCGGCCAGGACCGACTGAGACCGTCTCAACATCCACTGAGCTGTGGGATGTGCGAGTGGGAATTGAATTTTGCTTTTGACTTTTCTTTTGCTATTTCTTTCTTTTGATTGCACTTGGTCAAAACCACATGAAATGAATCCTCTACTAAGGTGGGCTTACTGCGCGACTCGGTGCTCATCTACCACCTGGTACCCTTCAGGTTCCCCCCCAGATGCACACAGTACAGGTAAGGAAGAGCATGCTCTCCTTAGGAAGGGGCAGAGGCCCAGAGGGGGCAAGCAAAGTAGGAAGGTCAGCCAAGGTCACCTGGACACAGCTGAGGCTAACAAGAGCCCTACAGTGGTGGGCACACTGCTCCACACCCCTCCAGCAACCGGGACCCTGGAACCAAAAACAAGGCTCGTGTCTCTCTTTCACTACACCCACACCTCATGAAAATTGCACTGTCACAATGAACAAAAAAAATCATTTTTTCCTTTTTTCATTACTGAACATATCCCTTGCTCAGGGGAAAAAAATCCAACACGTTATTTTTACAGCTTGCATTACATTCTATAAGAAAAACACAGACAGCAGTTACGTAATCCAAAGAAGCAATTTAACGAGGTTTAGAAATGGAAGTTATGGGGACGGACACAAAGCTCCCAGGCAAGGAGCAGTCACGGGAACTGTCCTCAGTTATTCTGCAACAGAAGCAATCCCAGCCCTGCATGCATCCTGTCCACCTGTGTCAAAGGCCATGTGAACTCATCCTCTGCAGCCAGCCACCTCTCTGCATCAGGACCCCACCTTGGAGCAGCAGGGACAACAGAGCTCACAGAAGGGGTCCTGGTCCTGGATCCGCTATACACAGCTTGTGGGACAAAAGCACAGAGGCCCTCTTTGCTTCCAGGGGCTCATCTGTGGCATGTGAGCTGGATGGGCACAAGGCTGCTGTCCTGTTCTGACGACACAGAACGCTCAGAGGCATCCACCTTAGCTTGTAGACAAGAGGCCAGGTTGATGGACACACATATCCAACCTGGCTGGATGCATGGTATGGAATGATGAAATCTCTCAGCCCAACATGTGGCCCAACTCAGGGCAGGCTGAGGGTCAGCTTAAACGGGGAAGGCTGGTACTGTGCCCAGCTGCCTGATGCTGCTGCTATACCAGCGTTCTGGACTGACCTAAGCAGCAAATTCACAGGGGTTTCTTTCTCAAAGATCAGAATGTCAGCGATGTAATGAGACCTCACCCTATAAAAAGATGACTTTCTGGAAGTTGCTCCTGATTCGTATTTTCTCTAAACTTGTATTTTTACACATGAGCGTGAGTGAAACAGAGAACAGGCAATGACATTTCTGCTGAGGTTCAGGTGGAAGCTTAGCACTGTCCATCCCTTCTCCAGGTGCCCCAGCTCCCACAATGGCCTCACCACACTCCTATCCTGTTCTGTCCTCCCTCTGGCTGTGTTGTAAAAGCCATCCTTCTGGGACATTGTCCTAAATGCCATGGTTCTGTGTCACATCCCCACCTGTGTCCTGTGAAGGACTTGACATATGCCACTGAGGAGAGTGACATATGGCCTTTTTCTCCCATGACCTCATCATCTTTAATATCGTGCCAGGCAAATACCAGGTGCTTAGTAAGGACGCAATAAACAAATGAACAAACGCACACGTGGATTACGCTTTTTATGTTCCAAAGAGAAGATTAGATTTTACATCAGGGTTTTGCTTGCTTCTCTACTGCATTACTGTAATTAGAGTTCCCAACCCTGTTATCCTGCTAAGAGCCCTGTGTAATCCCACCCACAGGGGACTAAAGGAGGGAGAGTCCTTCTGTGCTATAGGTCTCCTACAGGGACTCCATCCATCACAGAGCACCTCCCCCTCCATTACTGCTCACACAAACACACCTGGCAGCACCCAGAGCGATGGTCTGGAGCCCCACTGTGTCTGCTTCCCATTCGGTCTAGAAACTGTTGAAGCCAAGGAACCAGACCCTAGATGGATGGACGTGAACATGGGTCACCGAGGCCCCAGAGACCTCCCTGCTGACATTTGAACACTACCACTTGGGGACACAAAACTTAACTGTGCAACTAATTATAGTCCCAGGTCAATGACACTGGGTCCTCCAACTTCATTCAGGAGAGTGGCAAGGCAAGAAGAGGTCACTGTGAATATCATTCCAGGGGAAGGAACGCCTCAGCTTTATCCCACAAGTGGCCTATGAGTGTTCTGCCTGCTCTCTGGCCCAATTGTTTATTGCTTACAAATGCCCTGGGTTGACTTAAGTTGGTGTTCCTTCCTCCCTCCCTCCTTTCCTTCTTTCCTTCCTTTCTCCCTCCCTCCTTCTCTCCCTTCCTCCTTTCCTTCCTTCCTTCTTCCCTCTCCCTTCCTCCCTCTCTCCCTCCCTTTCCTTCCTGTACAAAGCTATAGAAAGGACACCAGTCACACTCCATAATACACAAGAATGACTGATAAAACTCACCACACTCCTGTCCCCGCAGAGGTAGCTATTATGACCTAGCTAGGAACATTTCTATTCCATGTCAAAATGAACCAAGTATCAAATAACAAAGGAGCTATGCCTAGGCAGTCTCAGTGTCCCACTGGAGAAATATTTATGTTTGATTTTGGTGCTAGAGCTCTAAATTCTTATTTGAAGAAAAGAAGTGTGTTCACATCTCGGAGCAACTCTGTGGTCTCACCAAGATTTTACGTTAATTTTAACATTTTTGAAAAGGTAATTTCCAGAGACAGGGTGTGGTGGCTAAACCTATATCCCAGTTACATGGGAGGTGGAGTTAGGAGGATCGAGGTTCAAGGGAAGACCAGGAAAAGTTAGCAAGACCCTATCCCAAAAAATAAAGTAATAAAAAAGAAAGAGAAGCAAAAAGGACCGGTTGTGTGGCTCAAGAGTATTTGCCTAGCAAGAACAAAGCCCTGAGTTCAATCCCATGAACTGCAAATAATTAGTAATAGCAACAATATTAATTTCCCCCAAATGATATGTTGAAGAAACAGGAGGAAGGCCACGCCAGCACAGGACTCCATTTTCACCTCTGCATGATCCCAAAAGGAAGCATAACTACAGGAACGAGACAATGGCAGGACACTTGCTTTTGCACCTTGAACCCCAGGGTTTCCAAGAAATCACACAGGATTCGCACACCTCATGCAGAACATAAGCGTGGTCAGGGCTCCCACATAAACACTAGGACCCAGTCATGGCTCATTTTCTGGTAAACAGAAATAGTCCATGGAGCCAGGTGCAGTGATTCACGCCTGTAATCCCAGGTACTCTGGAGGCAGAGATCTGGAGAATTAAGGTTCAAAAACAGTCAGAGAAAAAGTTCAAGAGATCTCATCTCAACC